GACGAGAAGAACGATTAGTTGATAAAGTCTCATCTTCATTTTCGGAAGGAAATGTCGTGTGATATGAGTCCGCATATCTGCGCTGATTTAGCAGAGATTCAATCAGCACAAGGTGGTAAAGTAAGCTTATTTGAATAACTTAAACCTAGGTCCTTTATTGTGCAGCATTCTGAGGGTGGGTTACATTGAAAAATTATGGGACCAGGAAGCTTGGCAGGGCCAAAAGATATGGAACTAAATTCGGACAAAAAAAACTCCATCAGCCAAGGTGAACTTCACCTGACGATCAGAGTAGATCGGAGTTAATATTTCCAACGAAAACATTTGCGGTATTCTCAGAATATGAATAGACGCACTTAGGGCCATCGGCATAAATGAGCGTTTGCGAATGCCTTATTTCCATCGAGATATCATTGATGTGAAGAAATGAATGGCGGACCAATAACTTTGCCTTGGAATACGCCACACGCGATCGAGTGAGGCGTTGAGTAGCAATTACCAACCATGACTTTCTTACAACGGATAGCATAATAATAGAAGATGAAGCCATTGAGATTCTGAAACTTTTCCGACTAAACAGTAAAGATAGCGCGAGCTCTCAAGGGCTGAAACCAAGACCTTTAAAGATAGTTTTAGAAAGTAAACTCCAGAGGGATCTTCTACTTGAACGGACAGTAGGGGGGATCCCTGGCCATAGAGGTCTTTTTTTCAACCGGATTACTCAGTACAAGAGAGAATGAAATGGAGGGCGCTGAAGGCAGAGCTGACGACCTTGAAAGAACAAGGAGAGAAAGGACTAGTAATAATGAACGGAGTGATTGTTCGACGACAAAGACCCCTCCTGTGGAGGACGCCTGTCATACTAACGAAGGCCACACGGCCGAGCAACTAATTCGACGCAACAACCTACATAAAATTAAGTTCTTCTACGGAAATGTACAAAGCCTCTTGAACAAACTCGATGAACTTAAAATAATTGTGGCCGAACTATGTCCTGCTGTTATTGCATTAACTGAAACGTGGCTCACCCCAGATGTCACAGACCCCCAAATACAGTTAGATGGTTATCACGTGTTAAGACGAGACCGAACCAAAAGGCGAGGTGGCGGAGTTGCCCTATATATAAGCAATGCGGTCGAATATAACCCTGTTGAAGAATGTGTAAATCAGCATGATCTGGGGCTGCTGCAGTGTCATTTGCTGGTTCCCAAAGCTGAAAACGTTACTATCGCCGTTGTATATAGACCTCCAAATCAACCTGCCGACGAAGATCAAGCGTTAATCACTCGACTCCGCGAGGACAGTCGAAAGCAAAACACTATTATTGTAGGAGATTTCAATGCTCCGCGGATTAATTGGGACCTTATGACAGTTAAGGGCCACAGACAAGGATTCGACCAAATGCTATTAGACATGACATTTGATGAATTTATGTTTCAACATGTACGAACTGTGACTCGGATGCGTGAAGGTCAGAGAGCTAGTTGCCTGGACCTTGTGTTTACCAAGAACAAGGAAAGCGTTGATGAAATAAATGTAGGCCCGCCCCTAGGTTCTTGTGATCACATGACATTAATGTGGGAGTCGACACTCGTAGCTGTCCCCGAACGAAGCTCAAAGTCGTTAAGAAATGTCTGGAGGGGTAACCTTGAGGCAATGAAATCAGAGATTGGACACACATTATGGACCGAAGCACTACGAGGAGACGTCAACGAATGCTGGAAACCTTCGAATCAACTATGAGAGACCTGATTGAACGGCACTGTCCCCTCAAGAAACATCCAACCGGAAACAAACCGAAATGGCTGACAACAGCGGTTAAGAAGGAAATCCGAAAAAAACGGAAGCTGTGGAAAATCTTCTTACAAACGGAGAACCCAGAAAAACTTCAGAAATTCAGACAACAACGAACCTTATGCAAAAGACTCATCCGAGAAGTACGAGCTTCTTATGAAATGAAGCTCCTAGAAGAGGCGCAGCAAAAACCTAAAGCGTTCTATGCATATATCAGGAGCAATACAAAAAACCGGGACCATCTGACAACCTTAAAGGACAGGAATAACCGAATTGTGAGCGATGGCTTTCAAAAAGCCGAGCTTCTTTCCGAGTTTTTCCAAAGTGTCTACACCACAGAACCACCCCTCCAGTCCTGTTCTCTTCCACTGCCCGCCAACCAACCACTTATAAGCACAGTATTTTTTACTCCGCAGTTAGTTTTAGCAGAGCTAAATAAGCTGGATCCGGCCAAGTCACCTGGACCAGATGAGATCCCAGGTGTACTCCTGCGTCAGCTAGCTGAAGAATTAGCAGAGCCACTTTCTACAATCTTCCAAAAATCGCTGGAAGCTGGCAAACTACCTGACACATGGAAGTTGGCAAACTTCGTACCTATCCAGAAGGGAGGATCACGGCTATGTCCCACCAACTACCGGCCGGTTAGTTTGACATGCATTTGCTGCAAACTGATGGAAAGGCTAGTTAAAAAATCTATTACATCACTCGATACTTTCCGCTGTCACATCGCCTCAGTTCAATATGGCTTCTGCGAAAAGAGGTCCTGCCTCACAAATCTGCTTTCGTCACTCGAACATTGGTCAAAGGCCATGGATAAAGGATATCCAGTTGATGTCATTTACTTTGACTTCAGCAAGGCGTTCGATTGCGTCCCACATAAGCGCCTCATTCAAAAGTTATCAGAAGTAGGGATAAGAGGAAATCTTCTGAACTGGATTCAAGATTTCCTAAATGGACGGCAACAAAAAGTCACTGCGGGCGGCTACTGCTCAGAATGGGCACCTGTTACGAGTGGAGTCCCACAGGGGTCAGTTCTTGGGCCGCTCCTATTCATTATCTATGTAAATGACCTGGTACGGGAAGTGAAATCAGACATAGCGCTCTTTGAAGACGACCTTAAACTTTGGAGAGCGATAAAAGATGATGATGACGTCAGGATGCTACAAGAGGACGTAACGAATTTGCACGCATGGAGCGAGAAATGGTGCATGAAATTCAACGTCAAAAAATGCGCAGTAATGCACGTAGTATCAGCGAGGCGAAGAACAAATGCACCCCAACGACAGTATCTCCTGGACAATCAACCACTTAAAACCGTAGATGTGCAAAAAGATCTCGGTGTATTCATTAAAGACGATCTAAACGTCACCACGCAGTGTTCTAAAGTCGCTGTGCGGGCAATGTCCGTTATGAACGCGATACACAGAACGTTTATTCACTTGAATAAAGATGTTTTTGGCAAATTATACGGGACATTTGTGCGGCCGCACCTGGAATATGCGGTACAGGCTTGGCGGCCGTGGCTTCGGAAGGATATAGATATCCTTGAAGGTGTACAACGGCGTGCTACAAAGGCTGTTCATGGCCTCAAAAACTTCACGTACGAGCAGCGCCTGACGGCTTTGAACCTTTATCCCCTCCACTACAGGCAGGACAGAGGTGACCTCATAGCAACGTTCCAGTTGATAAAAGGACTTAATCTGGATGTCTACTAGGAAACGTTTTTTGAAATGGCACCCAAGTCCAGTCTCAGACGACATGATTACCAGCTTAAAAAGGAACTGTGCCACACAAATCAACGTTCCTCCCTTTTCTCGCAGAGGGTCATTCGCCAATGGAACTCTTTGCCGGAGTTTGTTGTTAATTCCCCTACCGTGAACGTGTTCAAGAGACAACTGGATACTCACCTGCTGAAAGGCAACCCAAACTGCCGAAGCCTGATCTAACGGATTATTTAAATGACTATAAATATACTACTAACATGATTTCAACAGATCATATTTTTGCTTCAAACTTAGCCCATATTGAAATTTTCACAGTCCGAATGCGGTGAACAAAGTTTTTCGCAATTATTTTGCGAATATAATACCCCTTTCACCTTTATGTTACATTATTAGATTTATGAATTCTCCCTACTAAAGCTGCAAGCAAAAGTTTTGTAATTTAACTATTCTAATTTATACCTGTACCCTCTAAATGGAGTTTTCATGGCTTCTGTCGTTTACTCCAAATATACTGACTGATACTGACTGATAAGTAGGAGCCAACGAAGTCGAGTTGAGGAGGCCGGATGTCGAGGGCTTCCAGTTTTACGAAAAAACATATATGTAGCTCCTTGATAAGTGAAAGTGTGTATGGTTGTTTATAATGAGGGAACCAAGCACTAAACCCATCTCTTCAATACCAGCTGCAAGTTATGGTCAAGCCAAATATGAATAAGATTTGCCGCAATAGCTGACGGGGCGCCAAGCCTCCGTATAAAATAGTCTATCGCAAAATATGCATTCGATTGTAATTTCTACCTCCTAATACAATGTCTTCGGTAAACCTAATTGACCTGACGATTATGAAAATTCGGGATGCTTTCTCTTGTGATAAGCTAACAAAGCACATTCTTGAAACATTCTTAGACATCCTATTTACGAGCTCTTCAGCAATTGTCAATATAAAAATTAATCTTCTGCAGACAAAGTGATTTATTCTCATCTATAAGGCGAATCTTGCCAGACACTTGTTACCCATCGCACTGTAACCGACGGACCAGTGCCAGGATCAAAATGGTGGTCATGAATCAACCGCCGTCCAACGCTGCACATAAAAGGCATTCAAGCTAAAACCGCAGACAACTTCTCCACGCAGCAGTAAAATCGCCAGTGGAGTAACACACCGGATCTCCAAAGCTAGCTAAGCCTTCAGCGGGCTGCAAAACCCCGTATGGAATCGTCACAGTCGCCACCTCAACAGCAAACTGAAGGTGTACACAACGGTCATCTTGACGGCATTGCTGTATGGAGTGGAGACCTGAACAATTTATAAGAAAAAACGCCAAAAATTAACCACTTCCATTTCTTTTCCTAAAGTCGAGGTGGCAGGGCAGGATCCCGGAGACTGAAGTTTTGGAAAGGACCGGAATCCTCAGCATCCACGCCATGCTAAGGAAATTGAAACTGCGATGGACGATGAGCAACTGACCAATTGAGTGTTCCATGGAGATGCTTCTACAGATGCTCGCCGACAAGGAGGTCACACCTGCCGCTGCAAAGACACCTAAAGAGTTCTTTGAAGTAGTTACAAGTCAACTACAAAGCCTGGAAAGCCTGCACGCGGGCCCACCGACCTGGACAAGAACAGTAAAGTTTGGAGCAGCAGTCTATGAAACCGGCCGGATGGCCACTACCAAAACCAGAAGAATGATTCGCAAGGCTCATGTGAACCCCAAACACAACATAAACACCAAACCCCTCCTGACATGCCCGAGATTCCAACGAACATTTCGGACGCGGAGTGGTCCACTCGGACATCTCAAGTCCCACTGCAACAACTCCAGCCGCTGCCTCCATAACCGTTCTCACCGTCACCCCTGCAAAAACACCACAGTGTGCACGACGACCTCCTCCCTCATCACCGGTGATCACAATCCCGATGTCTCGTCGTCGTCGGTCGCCGCCACCTCCATCATCCCTGCCACAACCCCGCGATGATGACGACGACTACTTGCTTTCCCACTCTCGGCACCAGTGAGAACACTCCTGACGCCTCGTTAAGCGCTACCTTCACTATCATCACCTCACCGCCAGCGATGAAGACTCGGACCAAACCTGTCCTAATTGCTATCACACATCCACCGCATGCACTGGCCTGGTCGGTCCCTTGCGAATCTACAACATTGTGGCCGGCTTACCAATGCCTGGAACCCCAAATACACCCGCCGCATCGCCTTTGCTGTCTGCATTATCCACATACATTCACCCATCGCATGGGCCTATTCGGTCACATAAATATTCACGGCAGCAGAATTCCCCGCAATATCGACACACCTTGTACACCCAACAACGCTCCCATACCCAACCCCACCAACTTCCCATTCACCAGCTCGGCATAACAACCCCGAGCGACGCAGTATCTCCCAACCTATCCTGTCCTGAATGCCACCGCACATCCACGCCACGCATCGGCCTAGAGGATCATTTGATAATATGCCGTACAGAGACTAGCAAACCGGTGCTTAGAGCACCAGCACACACACACCTGCCATCATCGTATCAACTGCCCGCGTTGCTCTCGAATAACCAGTCATCACATGGGCCCAATCGGTAAAATGCACCTCCACGAAAATCAGCTAACTAGTCCATATTGCCACACATTTCTCCACCAGCATATATATATCACACATGAACACTTCCAGATCACACAACGCAGACACCTCTCGTGTCAGTGACAAGTGCGTACTTTGACTCCTTCTCCATGTGACTCCCCTATCACATGTGAAATCTGAACAGTCTCCTCCCTGTGTGGAATCCTGGTGAGTGCGGATGGGAGCCAGGTCGTGTGTGTTTGGCATGCGCAGATAGCCTATTCTTAGCTCTGTCAGTCATCTCTCCCAAGCTCAGAATCAGTTGGTTGATCGGCTCGGACAGTCGACTTGCGCACACACAGGGTAGAGCGAGTGAAGTCCATTCTCAGCCCACACTTCCTCACCATAAACAATCTGACGCACCTGAAAATATCACGGTATGTTAGACGCCGTGGCTTGAAAGGTTGGCAACTGACTATTCAACTCTGATTACGCTGTCAGTCCAAGGTGTGTTTGTGTGATGAGTCGCCTACTGATGTATTAAGAGTTAGGCTGCGATGGCTCCTTCCTATGGCACACTCACACACGTCAGATGTTAGCCGCCTACCCTCTTTTGTGTATAATTCATGTGTGTGTGTGTGTGTGTGTTTGGGGAGCCAGATCGCGTAGGTGGTTCGCGTATACAGACTGGCTTTAACTCTGTCTACCACTGCATCCACTCCCCGCGTTAGACAGCTGATCGGCTTCGACAGTGGAATGGTGCCAGAGAGTATAAAGAGAGACTGGGTTGACGGTCTCAGTGAATATTTCTCAACATAAACAATCTGACACGCTTAAATCTGCAACAATGAACTGAAAGTCGTGGTTTAGGGGGTTACTAACTGACAGGGATAACTCGATCCTCCTCGCAGAACGGAGAGTCAGGCTGCAATGTTTCCTTCTTACTGAAGTTTTTATAGCACTCCCAATCAGCTGGGATCCGAGCTGCTTTCCTTCCCACTTTCCTGTTGTGTTAAGTCCTAGTCGTTTGCGTGTAACCCAGGAGGTGTGGTAGTACGCCTAGGCGCAGGTTCATACCGCACCAGCCACCGCGTTCTACCCCGTCTCCAGTTTTCTTGATTCTGTCTCAACACTAGGCCCAGGGGGAAGGAGGATACGGCGCGATAGATGTTGCGCAAGTCTACTATCACTGTAAATGAAAGCGCGCTCAAGTCACCGTCTATGCTTCCATCCTTGTGCACGTCGTCGGAACGACGGTCGATCCGCCTACGCCTTTTTATATGTGTACTTGCACGAATTTGACCTTCCATGAGTGCCGATTCCTTCGGATTTTTCACTGGTTTTGGTGATGACAATCGGTAGTTTTTGCAAAGTAGAGGCGTCCGGTCAGTGGCATTCGATGTCCCAAGGTGTCCCAAAATGGGGACAATTGGACCGGTCATTCGAAAAATTTATATGTTGACCTGCCAGAACCGATACAAAGCTTTATAAAGATAAGTTCGGAAAACCAAAATCTGTTTAACTTTCAACCGTAGAAATCTGGATCATCTGTCAGGTGAAATATTTGCTTACGGAATTTTCCTATGCTTTCAGAAGGTAATCGGAATACATCTCCATCATAGGAAGTCTTTTATAATTCCTGAAATTTATGGTCTTCAGAAATCAAGACTGTCATTCCCCGGAAGGGAATATAGTCGCTCATTCAAATTTTTCCTTAAAGGAAGCCTTATCTATGAGACTAGTCGGTTTCTCGTCAAGATTTTAAGTCTTTCAAGTTTTCACATTAATTTTCTTTATAAGTAAGGTTTTTGTGCGCATAAGTTACTTAAGGAGGAGTCATATGTTCACCGTCATACACAGGAGGAAACCCCTCGGTCATCTGCCGGCGATATTCTGCATAACAGTTCGTGATCAGAGAAATGTTGAAGTACTCTCCATCGTTGACCTCTCGCTGGGTGCCAGAGCACTTCGCCTAGGACTATCAAAAGTAGTTGCCAAACAGAAAGTCTGCACGGATGGAACTGCTGACTTCTGAAGTTAAGTGTATCTCGAAGTCAGTAAAAGCAGTTGTGCAGAAAACCCATTTATATTCACAAATAACCCATTTATTCCCGTTCATTTCATTCGAATGCAAATTATACATATGGCATGAACTCTTTGAACAGTCCGATTCAAACAGTGTCAGGAATCATCATGTCACTTCGTCAGCCGTGTAATACATGGATTTCCGGCAGAGACAAGACATTGTCCCTGCACTTTTTGCATTGTGAAGTGGTTGGTAAAAGTGGTAAGAACTACTTCAGAATCAAAATCTGGGAGGTCCAAATAGTGAACTAATGGCGTTTCGGACCAACTGGTGGTCTAAAATAAGAGGGGAACAGTACTACGGTCGCTGTGTAAACCTTCTCCAGCTACTTCAGTCTCAGGTACTCCTCCCCCTATAGTCTATTTGTTAGAAGTTTTGATAAATTTCGCCTGCACAGGAATGAGGATCACAAGACTCCTTTTTTGTTCAAATAGCACTCACCTGCAGCCCTTAGTGTGCTCCAAGTTGTAAGACACTTAAGGCAAAAGGACTGCTTGATATGAATATTCGCAAAATTTAGTCTTAGTTATCCTCTCTCGGTAGAGACGATCGTCCACTGTCAGTATTACCTTGAAATACTGCTCTTAAAAATTTGACACGAATGGGTTTTACAAACATTTACCGTCCGCCCACGTCGGACAACTACCAAAATTTATTCGAATCAAAATAGTTTATGAAAATCCGACCCGCGCACGGCAACTATTTAAGCTCTAATTTTTCAACCACTTACCTCGTTGGCAGACGGATTTTAAACTCGATTTTTTAATTATTCAGATGTCTCGCCAGGACGCTTATACAGCGTGCTGACCTCTCTATTAGTGACATCGCGCGAACAGCTTCTCCGGCTACTTCAGCCTCAGAAACCCCTCATAGTCTATTTGCTAGACGTTGTTACAGCTTCTGGATGTTCTAGAAAATTTAAGACAGAAGGAATGATTGTTTCATATCGATATTTGCAAAAGTTAGTTTTGGGTATCCTCTCTATCTTGGTGTAGAAAATCGTCCACTCTCAATATGACTTTCAATTACGGCCCATAGGTCTTTGGCACGAGTGCGCGTGACAACCGTTTCAGAATTAATTTTCCGTCCGCCCACGTCGGATTACCAGCGAGGTTCATTCGAGTCAAAATGGTTTATGAAAATCTGACCTGGCGTCGCATTTATTTACGCTTTAATTAGTTCTGATCACTTACTGAGTTGGCAGACTAGCTTCCGGATTATGTAAATATTTGGCTACGACGCCGATATGGCATGCGAAAGTCTCTCTCAGTGACCAGTCCTACGAAATGTTAACTGAAGTGCTGAAATGCATTTTAGATTAAAGAGGGTTAAGGTCGCGAAACTTCCCATGGAGAAATCTGGAAAAGCATTTAGCGAGCATACGCGAGTTTTTGATAAATTCTCATCAGGGCAGTGCACTCATATTGGAACGAGGTACAAATTAAAACGCGTGAGCGGTAAGATAAATAGATTACGGTCCGTCATTTCATACACCGTCTTTTCGCGCACTTCGCTTGTATGAAATGACGGGCCGTAATCTATTTCTCTTATCGTTCACACGTTTTAATTTGTACCTCGTTCCAGTATGAATGCACTGCCCCGATGAGAATTTGTTGAAAGTACGCGTATGCTCGCTGAGTGCTCTTCTAAAGAGGATTATTTAGACAGGACTGCAATACTGATTGCTATGCAGCATATTCCTCAGATATTTCGATCACACCGGGACACCTGCTTTTGAATGCACTTTCTTCTCGGTAGCCAGCATAAGCCGCACGACAATATCTTCGATAGGGCCTTAGAGCGGATGGTTACCTACGTAACTTCGCCAATCGGTGCACGCCTAAACGTGACGAAAGACGAGATTCAACAAGCCCCAATTTTTGGTCAGCGCTCCCATACCTAATGAAGGTCTCGAAAGCCTACAGCCGCCTTCTCGCATCGTTCAGCTTTGGAGTTGCACACAGACGGGAGGCAACCATCAGACGTCAGGTCGTGAGGCCGAAAGACCCGCTCCCACGTTGGGAAGCGCCTGGAGTCGTTTACCGGATCTGTTGCAGTTGCAGACAAAGCAGCTACGTCAGAGACACTGGAAGATTACTCTGGACGGGAATGGCCGAACACGCACCAACAGTGACGGGGAATGACGTTAGCTCTCAGGTCATGGTTCATTCGGCGGGACCCGGCCACACCTTTAAGTTTGATGGGACTAAAATCTTCGCAAAAGGGTACAAACACATTAGCCACGATCTGACTATCGCTATCTCATGCATACAAAGATGAGGTGGGCGACTGAGTCGCACTTTACTCAAATTTTGACGAGC